ACCTGCGAACTCCAGAGTTTTCATCAGCTACCTGAATGGCTTTCACGCTCAAGGCATGATCATTGGGTGTTCTCTTTCTTGTAGCCAAATGCATTCTCCTCAACCCATCTCTCTTCCCAGCGCCAAACCCCGAATGGGTATTCAATTAATATTTAATCATTAAAAAATTTGAATCATAAGGGCATCATTTACCCAAAGCCTAAGTCCAGAAGGATTCAGGAAGAAAGAGGACCGGACACAGGAATGCAAGAGGAAGTGAGACAGGTGATGTGGGGATTGCAATCAATGAGCTCAAACAACACACCTGTGCTTTGTCGACTAGAAACCCTGATCCGCTCTACGCAGATTCACCCAACTCACAAGTTTTCTACGAAGCAGAAAAATGAATTCTATAGGACGCGTCTGAGGGTAGGCCTGTGGCCCTCCTCCATTCTGGGTGTGGCCATAGAAATGAAGTTGCAAATCTCTGCTTTGAGAAGGGATTTTGAGCCTCATTTATTGTCCTGCCCACTGTCCACTTCCGGTAACAACGTCTCAATTTCCCTTTGAAGACTGACCCCCATTCCTATGCCCTCACTTGGTTGGATATCAGATTCTGGCCTGACCAAAGCACTCTGTCTCCAGAGAGCGGTGATGGCTGCCTTCGTCCTCCCTCACAATAGCCTTTGTGTAACCATCCCCCTGCTTGAGACATGTCCCACTACTCTCCCTCCCTCCCCATCCCCTCCCCACCTCCCCAAGTCTTCCCCTGGCTAGTATCCACCCAGACCCTATGTCTCAGCTTAATGTCACCTCAAGCTCTTCCGCCTACTTTTCCTGGTAACGAATCGGGTTGAGGAACCCCAGTGGCACGGCGGTATATACGTTGAGCAGCTAACCACGAGGTTAGCAGTTCAAAACCAACAGCTGCTCCTCAGGAGAAAGATGAGGCTTTCTACTCCCAAGAGTTGCAGTCTTAGGGCAGTTCTACCCTGCCTGCAGAATTGTTATGAGTCAGAAACAGCTGGATGACAGTGAGTGAGTGAGTATCAGGTTGAACCATATGTGAAATTACTACCATTCTACCTTTGCTGACTCACAAAAAAATGTAGTTGATACCATATTGTTCATCCTAACCTTTAACAACCCTCCCCCCCAGGCCACATGACCTCCACCTGGCCAATCAAAAAACAAAGTTCATTGTCATAAATCCGTGCTGGAGTGATCATGTGACACCCTCCACACACACACACACAATCTGGCCAATCAGAGCTCTTCCATATATATATATGCTGGAGTGATCATGTGACACCCTCCACACACACACACACACACACAATCTGGCCAATCAGAGCTCTTACATATATACTGGAGTGATCATGTGACACCCTCCACACACACACACACACACACAATCTGGCCAATCAGAGTTCTTCCATATATATATATATATATATGCTGGAGTGATCATGTGACACCCTCCACACACACACACACACAATCTGGCCAATCAGAGCTCTTCCATATATATATGCTGGAGTGATCATGTGACACCCTACACACACACACACACACACAATCTGGCCAATCAGAGCTCTTCCATATATATATATATGCTGGAGTG